ATAGAAAGCATTTCCCCAGCATCTGTCATTTTTAGTAACTGTAGAAGCCCCTGTAGAATACATGAAACTGCAACAATAATCTCCAAACCAGAATCATGTATTGGAGTAGGTATTTCAAGTAGAAAAGAAACTATTTCTAGCAAACGGAGGTTGAGTGTATCATCTGGAATACAGAAGCATGTTGAAAGATTTCATTTCGTTTGGGGAACTTCTTGGAAGTCTTGACAAGCTGGCGTATTCCAGACTAAAGACATTATAATGGGTTAAAGTTGTTCTTTGTTGCATTTGATCCTCTGTTCAAATTGGGATGGGGTTTTTTTTTTGACAAAGTTCATCATCTTGTTGCCCTGTGAAAATAAATAACAATAAAACTTACCACATCCTTTCAGAGCTATTGTAGATATACATGTATCGGGATAAAGCAGTGAAAAAGAGTCTCTGTGTGAATGATTCTGCTTGGGGAAAGGCCGTGTTCTGACCAGTCACCATGCAATGTGACAATTGTCCTTTGCAGCAGTGACATTGGTCACAGGGTTCTGTATCCTGTGAGGTGACACCTCAGTCCAAGCAGCTAGCACAATCCAGGAATCTGAATAGCAGTGAAATTCGCTGAGGTTTCTTGCAAGCAAGATTGCTGACAATAAAAGAACTATTAAATATTTTCTGGTTTTTTTGGTCTTTTACTGAATTGAATAGATATTGCCCAGAGTAGAGGTTTCTATTGTGTTTTTATTTTTAAATGGTTACCTAGGACATACATAAATTGTTTTCGGTATAGGATGACCAAATTGAGCAAATAAAAATACAGAATTCTAGTTAAATTGAATTTTAGATAAACAATAGATCGTTTTTAGTGTAAGTATCTCCCATGCATTGTGTGTCTCCTGCCATTTTTGGGACACATTTAACTAAAAATTATTCATTATTCATCTGAAATTCAAACTTAGCTGGGCATATACTTTATCTGGCAATCATATTTTTATAGTTTATTAAAAATTATATTGACGTGTAGAATTTAATTTAAAATTCAACAATGAAGTCACTGTCGGCTTCTAGCTTCTGCCAGTTTCAAATACCAGCATTTTCTGTCTGCAGTATTTGTACCTTGTGTCTTTCTCTGCCCATCTCATTGTGTTTTTAAGTGATAAATTACAACTATATTCTAGTTTTATTTCTGGTTCCAAAGAGGATAGGTTTTAGAGATATCATTCACTTTTATGCTTTATGGTAAAATGCATCTATGTAAGTGAATTTTTTAAATTTCTCCAATGTTCTTTTTTAGCTAAATTCTCTAAATTTTTCCATTTATTCTTTCATTGTTTTTCATGTTTCTACCCAGGTTTCATTTAGATTATAACTATACCTCAAGGACTTTTGTCTTTGTTTTCTTAAGCCTCAAGCTTAAATAAATACGTTGGACGCACATAGACACACACACACACACACACACACACACAAAGTTGCCATAGATAAAAGCAAGTGATCAGTATGAAAACACGAGTCAAGATTATAAAAAGAAATCTAATACACAACTTTCTAGGGAAATAGGGGGAAATAGAAGCAAGAAACTAAAACATAAAGGAGCTGTTGCTATTATTTTAAAGAACAAATTTTTTCTACAAACTTGCTTTTGTGAAGAGGGCTACCTTAGCTCAGACAGGTTTAAGAAAAAATTGTCTTTATCTCTGTTCCTGTTTCCTTATGAAGAGGAATGATGAGAAGCCCTAAAAGTAGTAGTTTCAGCAAAATGCTTAGGACAAAGAAAGAATAGGACAACAACTGAGCTGTGATGGTTTCTGGGGGATCAGGGAATGGCGTCCCCATTGTCTGTGAGGAAAGCAGCAGGAGTGAAGTGTAGCAAGCCGCCTTTGAGTAATCGTGCCAAATAGAAACTAGTACACACTAGCCAGAGGATGGAGATTCACCAACACAATGCGTGTGTATGAAAAATGCCTAGATCTTAGCTATCTGATCTTACTGCTGTGATGTAGCTCCTACCTGAATAATTTCAGAAATAAAATGCAACATGATAACCAGTATGTCTCAAAGGACTTAAAAGTTTTAATTTGATTTGTAGTATTTTTTTGACCTTAATTAGAATAGATTACATTTCCTAAAGGGGCCGTCCCTACCAAAATATGATAGTACTTTTATAATACATAATAGTTTGACCCACAGTTCCAATGCAGTTGAGCAGAAAATTGGAGTGTACTCATGTAGAAAACTTGACCTTCTGTCGTAATCCGGACCAAATTGAGTATATCCAATATAAATGTTTTGTAGATATCTTAATGTAAATGTTTATAGCATGGTCGATAATTTGACAAAGAAACACAAAAGATCACGAGTTATTTATTTTTAAGGAAATCTGTTCTGATACTATTTCTTACCACCTGAAATTACTAACGTTGTAGGAAGCAGCAGCTTTTTCTTAACAATGACTCAGAAAGGGCAGCCCTTGCTTCAGAAATTGAAGCCTCCACAGCATAACTCAGCAATAGAAATATTCCAGAAGGTGCCATAATGAAAGTAGTAAAGAAGTCTTGGGTCGCACCCATGGTCTGAGGTTAGATTGAATGAAATGACCTTAGAGGAACAAGGATCCAAAATGCCTTTGACAATGGCAGTCAAGTTAAACACCCTCTCTCCTTGTCTGTTCCTGACCAAGCTCCTGCTAATACCTTTTGGTCCTGGCACCATTAATAATGAGAGATGGGATAATTACGCATTTTCCATAGGAGGGAAAACCATCTTTTAAGATAATGTGCCAAATGGAGATGAGAGCTTTTAGAAGAACACTTGCTGGTATCTCACCTGTCAAAATCTGTTTTGGCACAGCAGGAAAAAGGTGACAACACAAAGAAAGTAGAGGGAATAATTGACTATTTTGGCTTCGTGAACATACATAAATGTCATCTTTTCTCAAAAGAATTGTTACTGACAATTCCACAAAACAGCAAATAAATTTTATCCTTCCTGAAAATAATGGATAATTGGCCAATAGGTTAAAATCTGTTTTACTCCATAATCCATGATCAAATTGCTTTCATTGGCATTTTACAGAATGACTGAAGGAGATAAAGGTATTTATTTATCTGTACTTTTTACCCTCAACTCTCTTCTAAAAGTATGTGATTATATTCTTATAATTAAATTATAATCAAGTCACACATTGAAGAGAATTTTTTTCATTAACTGAAAAGAGAGATAAGAATGAACAGAGCGTGTGAGAGGAAGGAAGTTAATTCTATGAAGCTTCTTGGGTAAAATAGTTAGTACACTCGAACAAATGTTAGGTTTAGTTCTGGGTTCCAAAGAAGGCTGAAAAATATGATGAATTAGGTCATTTTACTCTTTTCATAAATCAATTATTATCAGTTCTTCGCAACACTTCACTAAGGTGTAAGTAATGTTTTTACCATGCCATAGTTGGACCACTTAGAACGTAGAGATTTCTATAGATCAGTGGTTTTTAACGTTCCTAATGCCACGAACCTTTAATACAGTTAAAAGCAGTCACAGCCCACAGGTGGAGAACCGCTGCTATCGATGCTTCCTATAAATTGAAATGGGAATAATTGTCAACTATTCCCATTTTGGACAAGTTTCAACTATAAAGGTGATAAATGTAGTATAGGGCATATTTTCTTTTTTCTTTTTTTTTTTTTTTTTTTTTTTTTTTTTTGAGACAGAGCCTCAAGCTGTCCCCCTGGGTAGGGTGCTGTGGCATCACAGCTCACAGCAACCTCCAACTCCTGGGCTCAAGCGAGTCCCCTGCCTCAGCCTCCCAGGTAGCTGAGACCACAGGTGCCCGCCACAACACCCAGCTATTTTTTGGTTGCAGCTATCAGTGTTGTTTGGCGGGCCCGGGCTGGATTCGAACCCGCCACCTTAAGTGTATGTGGCTGGCGCCTTAGCCACTTGAGCCACAGGTGCCAAGCCAGCATATTTTCAATATTCATTTCTATTGAGCATTTATCAGACACCACCCAATATTAATTTGACTAAAATTTGTTGAAAGAGGGAAGATATGTGAAAAGACAGTAATTTTGTTTTACAGACCAGAAGAAGTTTTGTATTATTAGATCAATATGTGGCAGTCTTCTGATTCCACTATTTTAAAATTTTTTTATTGCCTTTTAAAAACCTAATTCCATGTAATAAAATGATAATAATAAAAGAAAAAGAGAATTAACCTATTCTTTACTTTGAATTATCTTAATAATCATTTGGATCACAACAAGGTTAGTCTAATCATCAAACCACTTGTGATAATAGAAAGAGCTCAATGCTTTGGACAAAAAGGATTTGATGATCCATGATTCATTCAATTAACAAAAGCTTGGCGCTGCTGCTTCCTGCACAGTATTGTGCTAGCGATCGCTGGGGTACAAGGATAATGGAGTGGAAATCTGTTCTAGAGAAGTTCTCGGTGGCAAAACAGTCATACAAATGTAGAGTAGAATCTGATTCATAAGGGAGGGATACACATTATTTTTAAATTTAGGAATAATACAGGCCTGTTGATTATTATTTAACCATATGAAGCAGGTAAATAAAGCAGAGTCCTTTCTTATACTAAGGAAAGATATTTACTGTTAAAAAGCTACGTTTCTATCTATATCCTCTCTCTCTCTCTCTCTCTCTCTCTCTCTCTCTCTCGCTAAGGCTATTCAACAGAAACCTCTAAGGATGACTCTGTCACGGGGCTTGTAAAGTGGCTGGCTGTTTGACATAACGTTCACTCACCTCTATGCCTCAGAATTCTTGGGCGCCAAATACGGAAATGTTTTTCTAATCCTTAATATAATTCCAGTGAAATTGATTGAATTCCTTGAAGAAAACAATGCAGCCAGGCAGAATTTTGTTGTTGTTGTCGTTGTTGTTGCTGTTTGCTGCTAACTAATTTAAAGTCCATGACAATTACTTTAATGTCATACTGCCCATAGGTAGTAATGGGGTATATTTTCCAAGTTCAAATATTGTTTTCTTTATTACAGGTTTCTTTTCTCCATGGAAAACTCCAAAGCCTGTAAGTTGGAATTATTACGCTTCTTTATTTCTAGTTACTGTTGCAATCCCATTAAATAGAAGTTGAACTGAGTGACCTCAAATTCTCTTTCACCTCTGAGAGTCTGCAATGTCCAAAGAACAAATCTTCTGAGTCCCTTTAGCATGTGTCTGTCCCACAGGTACGAGAATAACTCATCTTACTTTCCTATAAAGACCAGTCTGACCTTTTTAAAAAATATGCTGACACTATGAACATCAACTAGTCAGTTTGGTGTAATAAAAATATTTTAGAAACCTTTTGTTTTTCCCCTGTCAGAAATACCATATAGTATTTATAACATGGGATTTTTAGAAACAATGCAAAGTCTTGGAAGTCTTGACCTCAAAATTTAATCCTATTCACAAGAAATTTAACTTTGTACATATGAATAATTAAATTTGAATTTTATGTCTACAGAGCTAAATATACATGTGTGTGTTGTATATATACGTTAGCTCTGTATATATGTATCTAAATTATGTGTGTACATATATATATTAAGCTCTGTGTGTTGTGAATATATGCATTCCACTCAATCTGACAGTCACTCAAAGTTGTGCTTCTGAATCTTCTTCAGACGCTAGAGCTCTCTATCATGTAACCTCTCTGGGTTATGAAACATGCTAAAATTTTTATGTTGACATAGGAGGATAGTGGGTTTTAATATTCTCTTTGTAAGGCTGGGTTAGCCAAGTCGACTTAGCAGTTAGAGGTCATCTTTACTTGCCATTTGGTTGAAACTACTAATTTCCCAAGTCCCAAGAGCTTGGACTAGTTTTCTCAGATCTCATTGTATGGTGTGTTAGAATACTCTACCCTAATTGGAATGTCGAAAACTCATGACTGGAAGAGCACTACAGAAAAGCAGGACACTCTCACTGAGTGGGTCCTCATTTAGGATGTAACTTATCTAAATCACAGAGAACATTAGATGGCAAAACCAGTCCTATTTGGGCTTAACTAGTCACTTACTGATGCATGTGATTTTGAAAAGCGGTATTTCTAAATATTTTTCAAAGGAAATTTTGTTTACCTTGACCAATGTCTTCCTTTCACCACCAAACTTAAATCTGTGCTCTGTGGTTACACACATCTTTATCTAATTTAACAAGGAACCTTGCAAACTCATCATGGTGCTACAATTATACAATCTAGTGATTTCTTCATATGTACCACATTTACACAAATTATGTCATTTGATGTAATTGCAACATTTACTGTCATTATAATAATTACATTCATAGTCAATAAATCCTAAAAAGATTGCATAGAACTCAATGAACAATCCTGAACCTATCTATAAAAGCTAAGGCTTGAACTTCCAGGTCCTAGGTTGAGTAAAGACAGAGAGCTATAGACTTAATGTCCTGCACTTATCTGCCAGAAACTTGTCAGGCTAAGAACTGGAATGAGAGGAAATAAGGTATGATTGTTTGGGGTGCAGGCTTTGAAAGCATACTGCCTAGGTTCAAGTTTTGCCGTTTCTCATTATTAGCTTTAAGCTTTGGACCTACATATTATTGTCATATGTAGATAATAATAATACCCTTCTCATATGGTTATTCAAAGATTCTTTAAGCTAATCCATGTAAGTTTCTTAAAACAGTGCCTCTGCATGTCGAACTCAAAAATATAAGCTGCCATCTCCACAGGAAGCAAGCCCTCCATGTGTGACCCCTTATTAGCAATAATCATGCCTCAGACAAACGTCCTTGACTGTGATACTGCCACTACACAAAGCTCATGTCTGAACCATTAATAAACAAATTATTTTAGTAGTTATTTGGATCAACTTTATGAAATGAACATGGTTGACTAAACTCAAATATGTAATGATATACCCACAGTGTATGAATTTATACACTCTCTCCTCTGAAGAGGATTGAAGACATTAATAGAGCAAGGAAATGTTATCCTGGCTGAGATCTAGCGCTGTGTCACTCCTCAACCCTCTTCTGTCCCATTGATCCATGTCTTAAGCTAATCTGTATCAAGGTAGTCACTTCCTGTTTAACAAGCAATATCCTGATTATAGTGAAGTCTCATTCTGTTCATCTGGAAGGGATCAAGTTCATTCTCCAAGTACAAAATCAAACCGAATACCTTCATGTACCAGCCCTACTAAAAATAGTGAAGGGGTTAGATTTTAAACTACCCAAGTTTGTATTGGAAGAAAACAGGTTCAAGACACAGTATTTAATGGAGGAAAAAAACCTGCCTTTTTCACAATCCCTCTACTCTCTATGTATACCATAGAATCAGCCTAGGTATGGACACCAATGAGATCAAATTGGAGAAGCCCAGTAAGAAGCCTTGCTGAGAGGCAGACACCTGGCAGGTAACACAAACTCTAGGTATGTCAAGGCCAAGAAGATGCTAGGTAGAGTGAGGCCCATGCATCTGGCCAAGGAGACAAGATCGAGAGTCCAGGTAGAGTGTCTGAGGTAAAAACATAAGTCCAAAGACCGAAGTATGTAAGAAAGTAGGGAGGAGTCAACAGACTCTACTCTGCAGAAGTAGAAGGTACAGCCAGGTCAGCACTCCTGATCTAAGGGCAGGTGGTTTGCATGGAATCGGAGCCTCCAGGTTAGGAGAGACCAGGGCAGGAATTGGTGGGGGTAGAAGAGTAAGTCTACTTTTTCATGGCTACAGTGATTTTCTGCTCTACAGTCTTTTAAGAAACCCTGACAGAGTGACTCAAGGGTTGATGAATGTGTCAGCAAGAAGTTGTGAATGCTTTACTAAGCATGAACTGGACTCTTGACTAATTTCCCAATCTCTGTGCTACAGAAATTCTAGAATTTGTCAATCTGCCATAGAAATTTTCCCAAATAGTGCCCAAAGCATTATTTGTTCTGTAAGTTTAAGATTGTTTTTTAGAAATACCAATATTTCACCTGAAGTATGTTGGCTTCAATGATTGTACAATGAACATATACTAGCAAGACACATGTGGATATCAGATAACCCTCAGTGGAATATGGAAAAAAGAAATAGACATTTGCTGAAGCCCTGTGATGACAAGTGGGCTAGTACAGCTCCTCAGACCGTATTTCTAATTTATTTACTTTTTAGCATTTGGAAACAGAAGGGAGAAAGTCACAACCAGAATGAATCCACAAGATGACTAAAGTCACTAAAGTGAAAAAATTTAAAGGATATGGCATTAGCCACAAATGTAGGTCCTCCACCAGAATGGATGACCAAAGAAACCCAGAATGGGTTTTCCATTTGAATTTCACTATCAATTGAATTATGAATTGTACATTTAAAGATTTTTACTAACTGGAAGCACAAGGCCCAGTGAGCAGAAAATTCCCTAAACTCTAACCAAAAATTTGCTAAACTTTAACTATATTTACCAGTTATTCCCTCCAATGTGTTATTGCATAAACAGTCACTCCTGTTAGAGCTAAAGGTCGCTTCTGACCCCAGATCTGTCACTGAAGCTGCATGCTTCTAGAAATTATGCGGAATAGGAGGGAAACTAGACAATGGTTTTCCATCCTTGTTAGGTATGGAAACTTTGGTCAGATGAAACCCTGGGCAGTAGTTCATATAGAGAACAAATAAAAGTTAATCTTACTGAAAGAAGGGTTAGTGACCCATTTCTTTCCCAGTTTGCTGGCTCAGGTCCAACTCACACCATAGTCCCAGGTGGGCAGGGAGAGGCACAGGGACCTCTGGTGTGACACTGTGCATGTGCAGTTGGAGAACACTGGTGCTCATGGTACCTCACCCTTCCGGCTTTAACGTATGGATGACTGATAGGTCAGAGTGAGAATCAGAGGGGAGGCAGAAGTGCTGTGGGGGCAGCCAGGAGGGACCGGATGGGCAGCAATGGTCTTCTGGGGAAGGAGACCTCACGTCTGAACCTAGCAGCCAGGTAAAGCCAGTAAAGAAGGCAATGAAAGAGTGGGAGATGGGAAAACTTTACATATAGAAAGAGGAAGAGAACCCAGGGAATGAGAGGAGAGACCATCCGCTGATATGAGGTGTGAAGAACTGGGCCTAGAGAAGCCTGCTGCACCACTAGGGAGTTTGGCCTTTATCCTGAGGACCACGGTGCTGACCCAGGGCAGAATTTTAAGCAGGAAGGAAGACTAAGCCAATGTTTGCACACACTACAGGTTTGTTCAAAGCAAAAAAGCAGATGCTGAGTTCAAACAAGTTTGACTGCTGAATGAAGGTGAAGTTGGTGGTATCAATAGGCGATCACAGTGAGCCTGGCTTCCTCCTTGATAAAGTATGATATGAGCCTCTGCTTCATCTACCTCACAGGGCTATGGTGAGGATCTAAGAAGACCACGTATGGGAAAGAGCAAGATGAACTAGGAAGTAATCTATGGATGTTCCTAGGAGACTTTGAACAATTCCTGAATCCTGGTGTTTACTTATAAACTGCAAAGAAAGTGATTGAAGTATAGAAGGTTATTGAGATGTATCAATACAATGAGATGATAGGTATCAAATAGATACACGCAGATACTTCATCTTCTGTTTAGAAGCAGTGATGTAATATCCTGGAGTCATCTTGGAAAAGGAATGAAAAATATTATACATTTCAATGCACTCATGTTATCTTCATTTGGTGGGGAGAAATTAAGTGACTTGCTAAAACTTACCAGCTAATAGGTGACAAGGTTACCTAAGTGCAGATTCAAAAGTCAGGCACCATTTGTATTTATAACAATCTATGATGCTTTATTGTATAGAAATAGAATCTTTTCATTCAAGGCAATATACCAAAGTTTTAAATGTTCCCTGGAAGAAAAGTTCAGAAGGCAAGAATGTCTAACGTAAAAGTGACAGGGGAAATAGCAGGAAAGAATTCATTGTCAAGTCATTTTCTCTGTTCTCTTTCACCTTTCAGATAACAGACCGATGGGAGAATCAAGGCAGTCCTCAAACAAGTTTATCTGCTCCGGCCGTCCCGCAGAACCTGCCCTTCCCACCCGCCCTTCACAGGAGTTCCTTTCCTGACTCAACAGAGGCCTTTGACCCACGGAAGCCTGACCCATATGAGCTCTACGAGAAATCTAGGGCCATTTATGAAAGTAGGCGTAAGTGAAAGCCACATAAAACAAGGGTACATTAATAATAGCTGAGGCCCTGACAGGAGATATATTAAGACTGAATGATCTGGAATGATTTTCTAGTCTGAGTCTCAAAAGTATCTCAAAAGTAGAGCCAGCTAGTCTAAAATTATCTTTTAAAGCCTGTTGACTCTAAAAGTAAGCTTATTATATGTTTCAGTGTTAAATTTTATCTCCTACATTTTTTTCCCCTAAGAACCTGAGGCAAAACAGGCATGTATTTTTGAGGGGTGGGTGTGGGTTGCTGGTTTTGTTTGTCACCAAATAAGGAAAAGAAATGTTTAAAATTTTTATCTGTTTAATCTGATCTTGCATCTAAAGCTTAGATTTTTCTTTGAGCCTTAAATGCAGCCATCTGAAGTTAAAAGCTTTGAGTAAAATGTCAGCCAAGTCTTTCCAACTCACAGTCATGAAATCAGTTGGTTCTGAAAGCAGGATAGAGCCAAGTGTCAATCATCTCCACCAGAATCTTCCGCCTCTCATTTAATGCAATCAGGCACATTTGAACATTCAGTCTTAAAATATTGGGTATGCACTTGTCACCCTGTCTCAAGGTCTTTTAAAATTATTTCATCGCTCTTTATAAACATTAGAACACAAGGCTTTTAGCAAAGCACAGTGGCTCATGTCTATGATCCCAACACCCTGGGAGGTCAAGGCAGGAGGATCACTTGAGGCCAAGAGTTCAAGACCAGCCTGGGCAACATAGCAAGAGCCTGTCTCTAAAAAAACTTTGTATTAGCCAGGAGTGGTTGCATGTACCTATAGTCTTACCTACTTGGGAGGCTGAAGTGGGAGGATTGCTTGAGCCCAGGAGTTAAAGGCTGCAGTGAGCTATGAGCATGCCATTGCACTCACCGGAGTAACAGAAGAAGACCCTATCTCAATTTGAAAAAGAATTAAAAAGCGAATTTTCTAATATTGCATGTACATTCATTGTGCTGCTTTCTGCCATCTTATAGGTCATCTCCACCACATGGTAGAGGACAGGAATGTGATGCCATGAGCATACAGTATACAGTATATTAAGAAGCTGAGTAAATAATTAGGAAACCCAGCCTGGGAGAAGGGGTTGGCCTCTGATGCTCCGGTTTATATAGTCTGCCGACTTCCTTTGCTTCAGCGTTCTGCCCATGTCTTTTTTCCAACTTTATTGTCTGAAGCATGAATAGTGAGTTTTAAATTGTGTGTGGTCTCATAGGATCTTAAATCTGCTTACTCTTTTGATGAGCTCAAGGACTGAGAATTATACACCCAGCTAGTAAAGGGAAAAACAGACATAATACCTTTCCCCCACCCTCTACAACTCTTTATAGAAGTAATTTTGGTTGATAGAATAGTTAGGACAGACAGCAGGCCATTGAGAAATCATTTTCATCAAAATGAAACAACCCTATATACGCACTCAAAAAAAAGAATTGGCTACATCAGAGCTGCTGTATTTTATTCCTCTTCTAGATGAACAACTGAAATCTCTTTAGAGGACTGTATCATTAGAATCTCTTTGCTGTAATGGAGTTAGAACAGAATAGACATTTTCAGCGGTATAACATGGGGTATGAATCAGGATGTTAATACTCATTAAACTAAAAAAGAGTTGAAAAGATTTCAGCACGGTTCTTAGTACCTTTTCTGCTCCGATACTGCTTATTTGTTGAGCACCCCTCTGTTCTCAGCACTGTGGGAAGATAGCAGAGATGAGTAATATGTCCTGCTCTCCCACCGTTAACTGGGGAATAGGAAGAAAGAGCGTAAGCAAGGAGAGATTCCGTGTGCTTCTAACGTGGAAGGTGGAAATGCGTGGCAGGATTAAAATACCATCCTCACGTCCTCGGCTTGTTTAATTTCACGGCTATATTTAGGAAGCATCAAGAGAGGCTTCCTCCTCGTTTTTCGTCTCTTCATTAGTCTTTGGTGGCTTCCTGGATGATGCAAAACCTTGTCATTCAGGACAGAGGCAATGTTGGTGTTTATTCCCAATCTTCTCTATGGTTCTTCTCAGATGCAGTTGTGCCCTCTATTTCTAAGCAGGGATTGTATGTGACCCCCTCTCACCTCCAAAATAATTCTACTTTCCTTATCCAGCCCTTACAATACTGTTTCTGTCCATCACCTTTCTTCTCTGCACCTATAACAGATCAAGAAAACCAATCTGCCTGACTTCCTCTCCCAGGGCTTTCTTTTTCAGTCCTCCCCTGGGAGCTCTTTATCCCCAGAAGAGCACACATCCTGACTGCTCCCCACGGCAAGACCCCCCAGCCCCCGACAGTACCCCTGCCTGTGCCACCAGGGCTGCCGCCCCAATCGCAACCCCCTTCTTGTTTTCTTGCTAATATTTCCAAAGTCACAGTAATATTTTCAAGGTCAAAACTCTCAGGAAGCCAGAAAAGGTCAAGCACATTTCCTTTCCTCCCCTTCTCTCTTTGATATGTTATTTCATTACACTAAAGGGAGTGTGAATGAAACACAGAAACCACGGCAAGGTGAGAAGAGCTCTGTCCCTGAAGGGGAAGGAGACCCGGGGAGCCTGACGCTGCTTTGTCTGTTCTGTCTGTCTAGACACCCAGTTCACTCTACTTGTCCAACAAGTGTCTTTATAGCCTTTTGACCTCTGTACGTTTCTGTTTCCAAATAAGAAAAGTTTCATCTCTCATTATACTAAAAAAAATTAATTAATGGGTGCAAAACTCAGTCTATTTCTCGTTTTTTTCCGTTGTTTCAGGCAGTGCTCATAAAATACACGCACTCAAACAAAAGCTTCAGATTCAAAATTTTTTGTTGTGAACTACTTCTATTCTTATTCCTTTGAATCACATTCATGACATTTAGGTTTGGCTCTATTTATTCTTATGTCTCTAAACTTCTTCCTGGGAGAAAAGAAATCAGTGAGACCAGGGAAAATGTGGGAGGGAATTGTAACCAAAGCTATTTAAACTAAGTCCTTTGACATTTGATCATCATCGTGATCTCGTGGTATCTTTCCTACAGCCACGTCTAAAGCTGAAGAGATGTTTGTATTCACATTCATAACCAGGTTGCAGGCACCAAATAAAAATCTCCCCCCCACCCATAATCTGGGCTGTACGGAGCTACAGAATGTTTGTTCTGTCAGGCCTGTTGAGAAATATCTGGATTCAAATCACCAGTCCCCTGCAAATGATAGAAATTTATCAAATGATGTAAACGCTGCTGTGCCTCATTTGACTCATAATTAGATTATGCTGACATTTTAATGTGCATGCACAGGACATCTTAATAAAGATGTATTCCGAGTGGGGGGGAGATGCTGTGATTTTAAACAAATGAAGGCAGCCATAAGACACTAGAGCCACATGGAACAGAACATGACAGGTACATGCTTAGGAGAGGAAAGCTAGAAATAACATCCTGTCTTCATGAGATCTTCTCAAGATGAAGTGAGACTGAAGAAAGAGATGGGAAGATTCTGCCGCCCAGCAGGCTGGTGATGTCTCTGATTTCAGAGCAGCAGGGACGGTGCTTACAAGTGGCTCCACATTGATCCACAAGAATAGATGAAACACTCGCGGTGTGTTTAGGACACTGATAGGCCCTTCATAAGAAAAACATCCTGAGAAATAATCTCTCATGAGAAGCTTGCAGTGAAGTTGAGGGCACAAACATACAACCCATGGAAGCAATTTCCAAGCAAGGCTAAGCGCAGCAAATAATATCGGCATTTTAATGTGTGGAATTGTGCAATAAGAAGTAATTTAATAATACTCATAGTTTCTCAACTTTCATGTACAAAGTTGATGTTTAATCAGGAGAATATTGTATTAAACATCTTTGAGTTACCAAAATCTCATTAGTCCATACTGGAGAACTCTGCAAAAATGAAAAAATTTTCCACTAACTTAATTTCACACAAGCTTAAATCTACATATGTAAAAGTAGACCCTAAAAACTCCCCCCAAAGTTTGGATGAATGGGACCTCTGGATCTTCGTGTTAATTATTTAAACAATAACCTGATGTCATGACTACCAATTCCCAGAAAAGAGCAAGAATCTCCCCACTCTGATCTCTACCAAAGACTTTTAGACAAAATCACTATTCCATTTGTGTGGGGTCATCTTCATTGATAAGTGACTTCTTGCTGTCCCCACTGCTTGTGACTGTAAAAATTGAAAACAAAAGAAAATACCCACTTTGGTATAGTGGGGCAAGCTCTACTATTTTTGACTTCTTGGTTCTCAATCCTTTCCCCATGAATCTCATGAAGAAAGACTTGAATTTCTTTTGCAATCACAAGAGGAACACCTTGAATTTTCTGTTTGTATTCTAACATTCTTATGTATTCCATGTTCTAACCTTGGAAAAATAGTATTTCTAGAGTATTCCCCCCATCTCATCCTGCCATTCTTTTTCTATATGTTATTGCACCTTTACTTTAAGAAGGTGATAAGGTCAAAACTATATGACAGGAACCTTTTTATAAGGGCCTAGTTCCCTCGGGTGACTATACGTGGAGGTTTTCCTGGAACCATCTGTGTTGTCCTGGCATAATTATTAATAGCTCACTTTTTACCCTTAAAACTGTCCTCATTTGAATGATAAATTATAAGGTTTCCTTTTATTGCATAATCTGTTCAAGGAATAGGCATATTAGTTTCAAGAAAAGCATATATCTAAATGAACAGACCATAAATAAAAATGTTAACACCTGCTCAGATCATTTTTAAAGTGAATTTATGTGGCTAGTAGAATTTTTACCTGTACATGTTTTATCCCTAATTGAATAAAGCCTTAATTGGTGGCTTGTCTTGGTAGCCAAACTCCCAATAAACTCCCCCCATACCCAGAAATTTGTACATATGTACTAATGCAGAGCTTGGCAAGCTAAGCAGAACAATTAGATAGGAAGGCCTCATGCATTTAAGTCCTATGCCATGGCACGCAGTCCTGTTCTTATCATGGGTAATAAGTCAGCAATAATCACAGAGCTGAAAAGGCGTTAATCTCACATGTCTCCTACCCCTAGGAAAGATAGATGCCTAGCACAACTCCTCCTTTTATTACCAGGCAAGGCAATATAAAGTGCATGCCAAAGAAAATGAGGGTGGCTCATGTTGGGATCTTAAGAAAATAAGATTCAGTGAATGCGTGTCGACGTAGGAAGGAGGGCCTAGTCTTGTTGCCTCACTTTGCTTTAAGCCAGATGTATTCTAAAGGTTTGTTTTAACATCCTGAGCTCACGAGGGCATTTCTTGGGCCTGCTCCGCACTGCAGCCTTGGAAGCAGAAGCAAATGAGCAGATGCAGTGAGGAAGAGACAGAAAAGAAAAATCCGCATTTCCTGGAACTCTTCCCTCACTGGGCTGTGTTCCTTGGTTTGAACCCAAGTTGAATTATGCCTGAAGTCATACAAACTTTTTTTCCTCTTCACATTGAACTTTGGTTATTATAAATAAACAATTTATGAGGTACAACATGCCCATGCTCCTTTGCAGTAAGACATCACTCAAATGCAGGATCATAAAAGTGTCAAGGGCCCGTCTGGTATAACGTACCTTATGGTATAACCTCTTTAGAACAGAAATTCCTCTGAAATTTCTCCAAAGGGAGCTCACACAAACCAACTCTACTTTCTAGAAATTGGAAAGCATTAGCCCATAATAAGCAAAGAGTATCCCAGCATAGGTGGTAATCAAAAGTAACCACAGGCCAATTAAAGAGCCTAGCAGAGAAGCAAACTGGTTTTCAGTACTGCGTCTAAAATGAAATTATAGTTGGTGACACATCAAAAGGGTCTGTTGTGTTTTTCAAATCTATGGCTTTTATCCTGATCCTCAGTCCATTGTCCGTAACTGAGTTTGTTTTGTTGTTTAGTGATGCTCATGTCACTCATGACTTAACACAGATGGGCGGTTGTATTTCTAGACTATCATGTTTCCTGCTCTCTGTCCCTGTTATTAGTGAGCAAGGGTCATAGTTTGCCCTGCCTCCCATCTTAACAGCAGAGCCATTTGGAAGGGTGAGGAGCATAGTAATGTTATTCACCATAGCACACCACTGGAGACTCTAAATGAAAAGTGATGGTGGAAGCCACATCACACGTGGTAGTGTCCATCCTTGGTACTCAGAACCGGAGCTCTGAAGCCTGTGAAAATCCATCTGCTTGAGCCTTCCTGGCTCCAGTCCCCTTTCCTGTGTAATGAAACACTTGATGCAGTTAAGCTGGAAATATCAAAAGGCTTAAGAAAAGTTTCAGCAAATCCACGGATGCCACAGCTACAGGCCCCTGTTAAGTGATCATAAGAGGCCACCTGCTAGATCAAGGTGAACACTGTGCTAGCTCAAGCCCTGGTCTGATTTGTTCTAACATCGCCAGTGTCCAATGGCCTTAATTAAAATACCTCCCACCTATGTTCTCTTGAACACAATCTTACTTTAGTAAAATATTAAACATGGCATGTAAATGTCAAGATACTTTCGTGAGTGACTTTAGCATTAGAATCAGAAAAGGATAGAAAAAAATTAATAACGTTACCACTTTAAATGCCCTTCACTGTGCCATGAAGGTTAATCTTCTGTACCTTTTTCCCATGAGAAAAGCACTGTTGTTATGCTTAGTATGATTTATGTTATGGTTTGATCTGCGAAAAAAATTGCTTTTCAGCTGGAGTTTCTAATATATCACATGATGTGTCACTTTGCAGTTCTAACACATTGATAACGGAGATCAGGAACTCCAGCTATGTTGTGTTTGCCCTTTTTAATAGGTAGATTTTAATTCATTTGGAAATCTAATTTTTTAAAATGGTATCTTCACATACCTTTCCAAAAAACTATGCTCATGTTTATATTTCTCACAGGTTCTTTTGAAACAGAAAATTACCATGATGCGCTTAGGTAAGATAGGCAGTAAAACAAAAATTGTGGGAAAATACCTATTTTTCCTACATATTTTAGAAATTAGATCTAATCCAAAAGATTATAAATTTATTTCATTCAGTAGTTTAAAACTTAAAGATCCTGGAATCTAGGTAGGAGATATAAGTGGCAGGGCCGGGGGTAGGAGTGAAAAGTAAATCCTAAAAAATCAATCTTAGATTAAAAGTTATTTCATACAGCAAAACATTTCGTTGGTGGCACAAATTGACAGTGAAACCCAAAGTACTTTCATGAATAAATATGAGAGCACCGGGGCTACGGGAAACTGAGTTTAATTGCTCGACGGTAAATAGGTCCTCGTGATAATGTAATAACGTCAAACGTCAGTTGTCTCCCTCGTAGAGGAGTTGAGAAGGTAGCCGCAGTCTTCCATGGCTCATGCAGGTCTACCTTTTTGATGAAGGGATATTTCTCCATTCATAATCCTAAACTGTCATACTAAACATGGAGGCTCTTAAAAAATAACAGTTCTGCTAGGAAACTAATTTGCCTTTACTGTGAAAGCACAGCTTAGCTGGCAGGAATGATCATTATGCCCTTGATGAGCACACTAGCTATTTATCTGAAACAAACTAAGCTCAGGGAGAAAGCAATCAGAAGAATATGGTCTTATTTTAATTTTTAAAAGTTCATGATAAAATACTCCTTTTTTTATAGTGCTTCATATGGCACAGCTAGCTTGTAAAATTATGTCATTCTAAATGGTAGAATTCTACTATACCTTATTTTTGCTTTCTGCTTTTTATAACTGTCTCTTAAGTCACCTCCTTTATAAATGCTCTTCATGAAGAATGATCACTTACATGATTGATGACTATATATCATAAATACATGATTATTTATAGGCCATAATAATAATAATAATGGTCTGAAGGGTCTTCAAGGATGAAATATAACGGTTTACATATTAAAGTCTAGAAGTGTGGGAAGAGTGGTCCTTACAAGAAACCACGATCTACAATGTGAATTTATGCTTTAGAGAGGGAGGTAACTTCTAGTTAATCCCCATCTGGACTTCCTTACATGATTCAAAAGCAAAGCAAAGTGATAATATTAAGTTAATCACAGAGGCAAAAATACTCTGCAGCTCTCTGCAATCAAAATTATCTCAGCTTGTCTTAACATAGATCTTTGTCTTCCTAAATCTTTCTTGACCAGAGGTTTATACACTTGTGTCTTCTGCCCATATCATGTTAAACCCAGCTGCGTAGTTCAGGAACTTCTCTATTGACAGAACTGTGAAGGAATAGGAAGAATATCTGAAGACATTAGAGAAAAAGTTACAGCATAGTCAGAAAAGAGTATAGTGTCTATTTGTAATAACACTGAAAGGAAACAAAAGAAGGATTTTTATTGCACAGTGCATTCTAATGCTTAAGTAAGTTGAAAACAAAAATATTATCAGTATTTTTACTAAAAAGTATCTTGGAAGTTTACTGTGTATACAGTAATTTAGGAAAGTCACTTAGCATTTTGGGCCTTCATCTCATCATCTGTGAAATAAAAGGTGGGAGCTCTTCAAGGTGACTTGCAACTCCGTCAGGCTGTTAATTCCTCCATGATGTTAAGGCAGTGGCTTTGGGAGGCAGAATGAAACTCAAGGGACAATTATGTCATTTTGTGTATGTCAGCAGTTCTCCATAAAGACATGTCTCCATGGAGTAGGGGTAGAGGCACATCAGTGGACCCTTGCCTACCTCTGATAAATAAATGCGTATCTGGAATAGCAACATATCTCCAAATACTTCCAGGAGCCAGTAGATAACTAGGTTGTCCAAGGTTCTAGAATTCTAAATGTGGGATACTCCTACCTTTTAAAGGTGTTTAAGCTTATGTTCATGAATGTTTATGTTGCTGGATATAGCACAGATTATATATAATTCTCATGAAGGACCTTTGTTGCTAAAATAAATTGATTTAACTCAACTATTTATATACAACTTTATCTAAATAATTGGAAATATCAAAATATTTGGACTGGTGTTTATACATCAATGCAATCATTGAATTTTCCACCTTTCATTTCAATGTTTTGATATAATATTATAACATGATTTTAAAAGACCTGTACTTCCTGTACAGATTACAGCTTCTAGATTGACTTTACTCTCAAATAACTATTGTAATGAGAATCAAAGCTTAATAATATTTAGAAGTGGTAATCTTTTTTTCACCCCTATCTAAAAACATTCAAGTTTTTTTTTATTTTGGGTACATATAAAAGGGATACATTTACATACATCCTCATACATAAGGAAGGGTACATCTGTCATTAACTGCCATGGATCTTAGACAAAAAAATAGTCATTGACAATGAGTACAAGATTTGGGTGGGGCAGTTATAATAGCAACAAAAAGAAAAAAAAGATAAATTTTAAAATGCCATAAATGAATTTCAACTTTAATTCCCCATTTTCCCATTCAGAACAAGTGCCACCCAGGACCAGTTTTCGGATGGATTCCTCTGGCAAGTATTCTTCAGTAATCACAGTTCTGTGAACAATACATCTTCCATCTTGTGTACCAACTCATTCCTCTGAACAGTCTCAATTTTTTAGTATATAATCACTGTGCTAAATTACTCACTCACATAAACATGCTCTGAAGGTAGACAGCAAGTCTTACCCTTGTGGGCCTGCAGTAAAAGACAAAGGAAAATCGTCACATCCATGAACTTCTTTCATAAAATGCTTTAGTAAAAATCTAGTTTAAAAACCAGCCAAAGGAAGCCATCAGACTGCCTAGATCCATGCCGTCCCATATAGTAGTCACTAGCTGTGTGGCTGTGGGGCACTGGAACTGGGGCTACCCTACATCTAGATGTGTCACAAGATATGGCAAAATCCATACTGGACTTCAAAGACTTAGTATCCAGAAAAGAAGAAAAACATGAATGATACCTCATTAAGTGTTTGATTTGTGTTTGAATAATATTTTAGATATATTGTTAAATAAAATATAAAAATAGATTTTACCTGTTTTGTTTTGCTTTTTAAAATGTGGCTGCTTGAAAACTTTAAATTACTTACATAGCTTACATTTGATTTACATTGGACAGCACTAGCTTAAATGGAAATAAGAACTAGGGAAGCTCAAGAGATCTTCAGTTTAGACATCTCCAAAGAGCTTCTTTAAAATTTTGCTAATACAAAATGAAATTATTTTCAAATCATCTAAATACCTATATCAATTTATTTTTTTAAACCATGCCAATTGCAAAATGCCATTATTTTAATAGGATTTTAAGTTAGAATAGAATATCATAGTTTGAAATTTAAGAGCTATTAGTGATAATTAATTTGCTTAAAAGGAAATTTTTTTTTTTAACTTAACCATTCCAAAGCTACTTACCAATTTTGGTTTAGGCTAAACTATCTGATTATTGTGGAAATGAAGGAGGAAAAGAAGATTTAGAATATTTTTTTACCCTCAGAGTTAGTAATGGAAATGCTTTGAACACTGATTAGACCACTGGATTAAAAGCCAGAACACTGAAACCATTGCAGAAAAGAGCATTAGTAATGATAGCACAGTTTCCCGTCTGCGGGCTCACAGCACACATCTCTAGAGTGTTTCCATGATAACAGCCCATTATCCATCTCAGCGTGTTCTAACACCCCTTGGAGAATATATGTGCTTGAGATCATTTCATTCTGTAAATTTCCATGTCATTTTTTTTGGATAAAATATGGAAGATATTGCTTAGCTTAGCATTTTGTCCTCAAATAATGTCTGCATTATTTGTTTAGGTTGGTCTGAAAATTTCAAAGCATGATTGTTCTTGTATGCTAACAGTAAAACCTTGTCATTTTTAAGGCTTACGCCTAGAAAGAACATGGGACCTAGTAATTGCAGTTTGCAGAATGAAATCAGGAATTCTGAATCTCAGCTTATTGGCCCCAACAAGAATTTTTTTTTTGAATAGCGTATATTCCGAATGTACTTTATTTAAAAGGAAAAGAAGAAAGGAAGAGCCACTTGATACTTTAGACTACCTTGATAGATTTGCAAAGTGATATTTTACGTTTTAAAAAATTATATTAAAAAGTTTTAGTTTTAGTATATTATTATACTGCTAAGCAATCCAGATTGCCAAGAAAAGAACCAATCCAAATATTTTGTTAAATGTCCATACAAGGTATCTAAATATTCTGGAAAATTATGACTGCATCCAAAACTGATGTCCCATATTATTTCTCACATGTATCAAATGTCCTTTATCAAATTATGCAGCATGATGTTGACTCAGATGTATTTTTCATACTCAGGGTATATTATGAACTATATCTGCGTAAGATCTACAGGTACAGAGGCAAAACTGATAGTAAGAAGTTATAAATAATGAATTTGTTAAACCAAGTGATAATTCATAGTGTCATACTGCTGTAATTTATTGGGTCCAGCAGATTGGTAAGTGCCTTAAAGCAATTAAATTCAAGAAATTTCTATGGAGCAACTCCTACAGGCTGTGTATAAAGGAATGCTATAGATGGACAAAGATAATTATATCATCACTGAGGGAGAATGTCAGTGAGAAACAATGGAATCTATGGCCAGAATCTTTGGATGGGCAACTCCACTGAAGGACAACAGAATGGAGGAAGGAGTATCACAGAAATCACTGCACTTTCAGAGGAGACCTCTCCTTGTTCAGAAGCCAGAGAAATTATAAAGGTGCATCAATAGTATCAAATGAGGCCCTGAAATCAGTCAAAATGAGGAAGGAGAAAAAGGCCGCTAATTTGGTTCCTTAGGATGTTGTCAGTGACCTTGAAGAATTCAATATCAACAGAACATAACCCCAACGGGCCAAAATGAGTCAAGAGACAGGGTGAGGACTCCGCTAGTGACTACTTTCTCAAGAAAGAGATGAAGGGAGGGGCAAGATGGAGAAATTTGAGCTTATTTGAAAACGGAGGGAAAGAATCAAATAAAAAATGGGAGATGGCTTTTACTATGGCTAAAATATGCCCAGCCATGTTCACATTACCCCAGGGATAAAGGAGAAAAGTAAGAGAAGGGATTCTCTTAAAGTGAAGGGTGTTAGCTACTTATCAGGTAAGGTTAGATGGGAGCAATAAAAACGGATTCCTGTTTAACTCATTCTGTATCTGGAGTGTATGGAAACCCAGGAGCTGGGGACCTGTTTGGTAACCTTCTTTGATTCCTGATGCATTTCTTCTACTGTCTTTCCTAGATTTATTTACAAGGGTAAGCCAAAAAACTAATGCTCTTTCCAGCAGGAAAAATTGAATAAAGGCATTCTCTGTGCCAAACTGAGATAATAAGCCATGGTGCTTATGTTTTAATTAAAACATGAAAGGGGATTCAAGTACCAAAATTTAATTGACATGTTTACAGCAGCATCCCATGTGCCAAATTAATTCACAAAAAACATCATTCTTTGCATTTTTGAAGATTGAATCCATTCATAAAATTAATCAGTTGTGTGTACCCAGCCTTTTTCTTAATACTGTGCACAAAGCTATGTCTTTCAAAGACAGGACCAAGGATACACTATGTGAAGCCCAAGGAGTCTTAGTAAGAAATAGGAACCAACTTTTGAAATTCTGCTTGTCTTTATTATGAGGGAGGTTGTCCTTATACCTGGATGTGGTCACCATTTGCTACTTTTTAAATGTTAGCATTTGCAACATCGTGTGAGCCCAGGATAAATTGGGAACTGTAAATTCCACTTCTATTACCTTGCCACAGTGGTCATATAAAATCCTACCCGAGAAGAGTACCCTGAGCTTTATTTCATAATGCCTCAGGCTCCTAGGACCCAACTTCGAAAAAAGAGGCAACACTGGCCCTTGTTGGCCATTGGACACCGGCATCCAGAGAACATTTGATCACCCCTCAGTCCATTTCTTCACAATCACTGCTTCCTTTTGAGCTGCACCAGACAACACCTGAGAGTGCACGCCCTTGACAGTTCTGCAAAAAAGGGTTGCAGAGAAAGAAGATTTAAAAAGAGCACAGGGAAAAAAATACACAAAAGCGACGTTAGTGGGGCGTGATTGAGCAATATCCAAAGCAACTCAGGTCTGGATAGGTATTTACCAGGCCCCTTCACAACCTCCCAAGTGCATAGTTTATTTCTAAACAAGAGAAAAGAGTGGTGATCATTAACTGTTGGAAGGGGTGAAGATTTGCCCTTGGATTTCCTCACTTTAAGCTCTAGCATGGATAAGGGAAGAGATAGAGCATGATATAATAATTGGAGCACGCCGTCAGGCCAGAAGAGCAGCTAGAAGACAGTGTCAGAAACATCATAATCTTCCAAGAGAACTAACAAAGCAAGAAGGGAAAAGAATAATGTCTCCCAGCCTTGTACATGTAATTTTAGTTATTTTATAAAGCTGGGGTCAAAGAGGGAAGAAAAGAAAATAAACGAAAACGAAAAAAAATTATCTTTCTAAAAAGCTCTTCTTTTTCATTAAAAAAAAATACTGCTGCCTCAAGGCACAATTTATCATTTAAACTTTTTTTCCAGTTGACTATTTCTCTAAAGTTTCCATGCCCTGCAGACTCTGAGACTGTGTTCAAAATTAACAGAGAAATAAAAAATAAATCCCATCTGCTGGCATACTTCTCTATGGGGTCGCTCTCACCTCTCCCTCCTGGCTCGCATGCTATTAAGCTGGTCGTCTTGGCCTGGAAGAAGGGAAGGGTAAAGATGGCTGCCCCCTACCACCCTATATTTGAAATCAGGATGGGTCAGAGCAACAGAATGATACTTCTCAGCAAAATGCACATAGAGGTTAGGAGAAGAGGGAGGAATGCCTTGTTCATGTTTCTGTTCTTCGGTGTTAAATGAAACTAACTAGCTCAAATCTAGATTTGTTTTCCTCAGAAAAAGTCCTGAGTTATTCATTAAGGAAAAGCCTTTTAGTTCCCCCAGGAATCACAGCATTCTCTGATCTAAGATAAACCCCTCGTACCCTGACACATGTCAAAATTCCATTACTGGGATTGTCATAATTTCCCATTTCTTTAGGGGGAAAGTTTTACTTAGCAAATAAGATGAATCACATAGTAAATTTCTTAGAGTTCCTCATGCAACGTGAACGGGTGCTGAAGTCATTGGAGGAACGATTTCTCAGCTGTGTGTAAGTGAGAAGGATACAGGAGATGAAAAGTTCCAGTTAAACATATGCTGCCTCTATCATTTTAAGTGCCAAAAATCTATCACCTTCTATTTGAATTTTTTATGTATATATGGTCTAGAGTGCCCCAAACTTACAGTAACCTGGAGAAGTGATGGCTGAGAGCCGTGGTATCATGCAACTTAACAGAAGTTTGAACAGCAACTGAGCACTATGTCACCTCCCATGTCCCCTTGCCTTTCTCCCTTCCTTACCAGATTACAGGTACCTGCTATGATTTCCTAGTGCTGCTTCATCTACCTCCCAAAAGCTTAGCACACACCCCAATATGTAATTTCTTAGATGATATTGTAGATGCCAGAATAAAGTGAGTTCAGAAGCCAACTGTGTGTCATGGGGTCTAGGGCAAAGTTGTCATCTTCCCTGTATCACCCAACTCTGACTAATAAGAACTAAATTTTTCTAAGTTCTCCCATCTTTAAAATATGACTGTATCATTTATAAAATATGGCTGCTTGTATCATTTATAATTACACATGGAGGTCTAATTAGTTCTTCAAGAGTTGTATATTATTCATTGAATGGAAAAGGCCTTGGTCATACATGCATTTAATCATAAAAGGATGTGACTGGCCATTGAGTCTTGCATAACACGTACATGTACATGTATTTATAAGCCAAATTCAGCTTCTTTTAAGATAGAACCAGACAAATTATTAGCATTTGCCCACATATCAGGAATGAATGACTTTCTCTTTATATATCACTGAACATAACCCAGGAGATTGGGCAGCAGTATCACGGAGCTTTGCACACTGTATCACTTTGCACACTGCAGCCCCACCCTCTGCAGTACCTGGAAAAGGTTTGCCTGGCCACAATTCAGTGAGTCTCCCTCTCCTCTGCCTACTGCTATATATCCAGGTGGCTCAGACATACGCTTCTATCTCAGGAGGATTCTCTGAAATCCCATCTTCATTTTCAAACCTATTCTATTTAAGCAAGGGGAATTTTACTTAATGCTTCTATCAATTCTCATACCTCCTTTAAACTATTAAGGCTCAGAAATCCCTAAACATTTCCTAAGCAAAGGATGGCATGATAAATATTTTCCCAAATTAGTGATCATCCAGTGACATTGTGCCCAACTCGGTCCTGGTTGACGTCCTGCCCCCTGAGGAAGGTGCCAAGGGCCAGGAGCATAAATCTTATTCTCCTTAAAATGTCAAAATATTTTTTATAGTTTTAGTTTATTGCAGGACTCAGGAAAAAATGACATTCAGGAGAGTGTTTCCTAGCTTATTTTTAATTATATTCCTGTTCTTTCAGCTGACCTCAGAAAAGTATTCCTCTTCTAATTTATTTTAAGTACACTAATGAAGTCAAAAGTCAAATAGTGGCTTCCACATTCTAAAATATTTGGGGGATAAGAGTTCATATTAGACCCAGATTAATTTCTACCTAATTCTGAAAACCTATCATAATATCAACACATCACTTAAACCCCAATAGAGAAAAGTTTAAAGTCCATATTTTCTAATATTTACAGTCTTAAAAGAAACAACTTTTATGGAACATATACACACACATCCATGAATTGGATATATCAAGTCAGAAACTGATATTAGTAAAATTACCAGGCAGTACTTTACTAAGCAATTTCAGGGTTCTGCCCTTTGTTCTTTCTTTCTTCTGTAATAATGATTCTAATCAGCAAAAGACAGCCATGCTTCTCCAGGGCAATCCAAATGCTCTCAGGAAAATAAAGAGTTACAGAGACAACTATTTTTTTTTCCCCCACTCTGAAAACTTGTGTTCTCTTTCTGCTTCTGGTGACACCCTAGCAGCCCCTTTGGCTGGTCACTACTATTCCAGTGGCTATCTAATTTTGGAATACCTACTATTTTGCTACGGTGCTTTTTGTATCCTCTGTGCTTTCCATTGATGCTAACAGCACTCTCATTAATCACATGCACAAAATTAATTTATCCCTGGTGTGTTCAGTTCCTCGGGGGCGGGGTGGAGGCAGGGTTCATTACTCAATGCGATCTTCTTTATGCCAGGTCCAGATTATAAGGAACTGGATGTTCACCTTCGGAGGATGGAGTCTGGATTTGGCTTCAGAATCCTCGGGGGAGATGAACCTGGACAGCCTGTGAGTTGAATCCCCTTTAATTCCACATGATGGGCTCTTCGTGGGTGTAAGCACCTGGGGAAATGGCATTCAGTATGACCTCTAAGAGAAAATGCTTCAGGACTCACATAAAACTTTAAGGTGTGCTTTTTCTTCTGCGTGATCTCACAGCACACAAGTGTCTCTTTGGCCAGTATCTCATCATGAATCATACTAAGAGAGGTACATTATTATATTTTAGAATGGATTGGATTCTCTTGCATTTCAGTTGTTTATCTGCACTGGACCCCCTGGTATCTTTGGGCGCAGCTTGTGAGTAGACATGCTGTATGACGGGGGACACATGTGCAGAGGTGACATGGGACAGCAGAATTGTGCATGTTTTCAACCAAACAGCAAAGAAGAGAAAACATAGGGATAAACAGAAGAAAATTCAAAGCCGATATGGCAGAATTTCATGCAGATTTGACATAAGGAATTATCATGACAAGATGTTTACAAAGCCAGCTTTAATTGGCACCATACTGGGAATTTGGGAGGGGCTCTGAAAACATCCTTTAATATACATATATATGTGTATACATACATGTGTGTCTTTCCAAACTGAAAGCAAAAATAGCAATAGTTGTTACACAGAAAACACAGCAAGGCTAGATTGGTGAGCACGTGTTTAAACATTGGCCATAAGACACGCAGTATAAAAGATGTATCTTACCTGGTCCTCAGTGTGACTAAGTCAGACTCATGAAAGTTCTGGATAAATGAACAGCCCAAGCCATGCACCCAGATGTCTGCCGCCATTTCTGTTCTGGCAGCTATACCCCACTCTAGCTCAAGTACGGGCTTTAAACTCTAAGTTCCAGTTTTCTCATCCATAAGATGTGGGTGCAACAATACTTTCTCATTGCGTAGATTTAAGGATTAAAGAAGATAATACATGTAAAGGTCTTGGTATTGTGCCTGGTTCCTATTAAGTGCGGAGTAAATGCTTTATCATTATTGATTTTTTTTCTCTCCTGTTACTACGTTATTCCAGAAAACAAAATTAAAAATAAAACCTGGTCAAAATCTTCAGCAGGAAAAAAGTTAACCTAACAAGTGAAAGGAGTTGTTAGCAGTTAAAGCTATCCCAGAGTGCAGCAGATTGCCTTGGTGGAGAGTGAGGTGAGCGCCTTGGCACCAGAGGGATTCCAGCAGAGTGGGTGAGAGGCGGATGGGAACCGAGAAGGGGGTTGGGCCAGAGGATTGATGGGGACCTTTCTCCAGAGAATCCCAGGAGGCTGACCTGGGACTCCAAGGATGAGAGCACTCCAGGAAAAAAAGAAAAAAAAAGACTTGTTTCCTAATTCCTGGGGATAAAATTTGGCAACAGTCAACCAGAATGTCACTAATTCCCTGGCTGCCAAAAAAGATGTGAATGTGCGTTTGCCAAGGAGGATTAGCCAGATTTTCTGAGGTAAAATGCAGGGCTCAAGTCACTCCAGGCTTCCATTTTTTCTGAGACTAAATTAGGAGTCCTGTGTTGTAGGTAGAAGCCAATGTTGGTTGCCCTCTGTTCCCGTTCCCAGGTCTGGTCCCCTCTCCCTCTGTCACCGAGTCAGTCCCCCAGCCTCATTCCTCTCAGAAAGAACTGAGAACACTGCCGAGTCCCTCCACGTATGGAGGCATCGAACCCAGTGGTTTTCAACCTTTCTAATCTCGTGGCACCCTCGAACCTATAGTTAAACTTCCGGGGACACTTAAATTATGTCCATCAAAAAAAATAGTAAAAAAAAAAAAAGAAGAAGAATGTACTTCTATGCTTTACACTTCTTTCAATAATCATTTAATTAATGATCTTTAAAATGCTTCGTGGCACCCCTGAGATCCTCTCGCGGCCCGCCGGTGGAAACTCACTGATCTGACACAGCCATCTGTCCTCCAGGACCTCCCGCGTCCCCAGGGTGTGTCTGACTCGGCTTCCTTCAGCACTGGCCTTGCACCTGTTCCTACGTCTACCCATTTTGTTTAATGAGCAGGATTTTAAATTTCTTCTAAGGAAGAACTTCACATTACCCTTTTTATTCTACTTTAGTGCTCCATATATTTAAAATATGTCATTATCCAGCATGAGCCAACCTTGAGGCGACGGTCCCAGTGCTTCAGACTCCACGTCTGCCCAGGACGCCGGGCATCAGGCGAATGAGTTGCCAAACTGCAGAGCCTAAGGGCACAGTCACCGCAGACAGCCCCACTTCACACGGCAGCTGCCAGTGTGTGGGTCCCACTGTGCACTAGGTTCACTGTGCACTGGTTACCAGTTCCTCTGAGCCTGGTGACACAGAACACTCACACATCCAAGTTACAGGAAGGGGCGATGTCACTTACAGACTGGCAGCACGGGACAACGGAAGCTTAGGATTCATCAGGCCGTCCCCATGGCTCAGGAAAGCTGCGTGGGACAGACGGAGCACCAACAGCGCAGGCCGCCTTCGCATCACTGCTGAAGGATCCCAGAAGCAGCCCACTCCTGAGTTCTGTGTCCTGAGAAATATGACTGACTGGACTGAGGCCCTGACGGCATGCTCTTCCCAGACGGGACTAGAAAAGAATCCAGGCTGGGCAGCCAGCCCCTCCCTGCAACACAGTCTCCCCTTGTTCTTGAGAAGCACAGAGAGGAAGGGTGAGACCTGGGTCCATCCAAAGCCACCCAGAGAACTTTCCTACAGGCACATCCTTCCTCAGGTTCAGTAATTCACCAGACTAATTCAAAACGATGAAAAATCCTAAACTTATGATTATGGTTTTATTATAGTGGAAGGATAAAAATTAGAACCAGCAAAAAGAAGAGACAGACTGGCCAAAATCTGGAAAGGTTCCAAATGTGAACCTTCCGTCATATCTTAGGGACATAGTACCCTCCGGCATTGACACACAGAGGATTGCCAAGCAGAGATCTTCCCCTAAGCTTTTTTACTGAGGGGTTTATTGAGGTTTCATTATTATGGGCAATGATCCATCATTGCTCACAAGACTGGCCTGAATGTCTCGTTCCCTCTTCTCCCCAGAAGTCAGGCTGATAACATGTGTCTCTAAGGCCCAGCCCTCTAATTACATGGTTGATCTTTCTCATTTGGTCAGCCACCACCCTAAGACTCTTGGTGTGGCTGGCCCCAGCCTGAGTCACCTCCTTGGCATAAACTATCAGCTCACCATGAACAACAAAGACATTCCTGTTCCCAGGGGTTCAGACTTGCAGGGGTGTCTGGCCTGTGGGCTGCATGCAGATTACGTGAGGACTTTTTGCTTATCTGTGGTGGCAGACATCACAAAACTTAGGCATCGACTTTTTTGTGGTTGTTTACTAGCTTTCATTAGTGTTTGTGTACTTAATGTTTGGCCCAAGACAACTCTTCTTCTTCCAGTGTGGCACAGAGACGGTAGAAGTTTTGATATCCCTGGGACTTTAGAGGTTACCTTCCAGGAACCAGAGTCAGTGGCCAAAATTGTCTTTGGGAGGAAGCTGAATTCTTCATGACAAGACCATATGCTTAAAAGATACCAAATGAACTAAGTAAAATGAAACCATGCTCAAAATCAAATAGAACTTTAAGGTAATTTTTTTTTTAGCATTTTGTGGGATACCAGGTATTAGCTAAAACAACTACAGAATATTCAAAGGTAAATCCGTGTAGAACCCACTGCATCTACACTTACCCCGGACTTACCAACCAAAGAGGTTTCCACCAGAAAGACAAGCTCCCTGTTTGTTCTGGAATACGCTCACTGACATGCTTCTGTCCCTCATGTCAATCTGTGAAAGGACAATGGTTTAACGTTATGTCTCCCAAGCGTAGCTTGAGACAATAAATATTTGTTAAATGGAATTGAAGAGAGTACTTTTCACCATGCCAAATCTGTCACCTGAGCTTCTCAGAACAAAGAATGATCAGGAGTTTTTATTTTCTGAGGTCTCTAAATTCTACAGCCTCTGAAGACTTAGGATCACCTAGTCCTAGAAGCAGAGATGGTGTCCTGGCAGCCCTGCAACAAGATGGGTTAAGCTCTCTCAGAGTTTTAAAATTGTTGAGCACCTACTAACTTCACTTTTTAAAAAATTTTTATTTTCATCCTCTCTTTAAAAATAAATCTAGCAACATTGAGCTTGCCTTTCTCCATGACAACGGGCTGGAGGTAAGCACTGGTCCCTGTTAGGCTGAGCCTGGCCATAGCTCCTAAACTGCCTTATCCCGGATGTTACTCATTTAGGCTACTTTGAGACTCCCAACCCAGAGGCTGGATTAAAAGAAATTGGAAAAATGAATATTTTATGCCGGAGGAGACTGCCACCAGGGCCAGATCTTTATAGATCATAAACACTAAAAATAGTGTCAGGTCTCTTCTCCCACATGTAAATACAAATAAAAGATTAAACTATAAAATAAATTTAAGGCAAGGTAACAAAGTTCCAGTTCTTCCCATGACACTTACTTTAGAACAGCCTTTGAAACATGAAAATTGTTACTTTGCTAGATCCCTAACCTCATGCTTTGTCTGATTTGGGGATAACCCCCATTCAATATTGTCTTCACCTGCACTCCCCTCCTCCATCCAGAAATAGAAGGGATTGCATGGCTGAGTCGTGGGGAGAACATAACATTGGCTGGCTCCAGAAGAGAGTGGTCTGGCTGAACTTTGGCACCTGAAGCAATAGAAGTGTTACCAAGATGGAACATTATTGCTCATTAAGGAAGCTCAGCCTCAGGACATCTTTCTGCCTGGTTTGTACATAGATGCCCAGGTCTCCAACCCTTCTAAATATTGGCTTTGAATTCTCCAATCCTTCCTCCCCTCCAGTGGGTAGGCAGCAAATATTTAGGATAAGCCTCCGCAGATTTACATGGATTGCTGGTTATCCTATTATGTTTATTTAGACTTATTCTGGTTTGTTCCTTCAGTTGAATGATTTAAGACACACTCCTGCTGCAAGTTACAATTTTGACATTTCAGCCATAAAGGAGAATCCTAAATCTCCCTGAAACAAGCAAAGCCAGAACATGAGTCTTGAAAACCAGAATATCGCCCCTCAAAATGACCATTTCAGGAAGATGTTTGAGTCTACTGCAGAGATCTCCCACAAGGCTTGCCTCCTTTTTCTCCCTCTCTAAGTCTGGAGGTAACGTACACACAAAACGTACTACCTCATGTAGTTGTTCGTGTGCTACAAAGAGGGTGACGCGTCAGTGGACTTGGTCCCCAACCAAAGAAGGTCTCCTAAGTAGATCAGACAGGATTCTGCCTCCATATATACAAAATGATACTGCTATCCCAGGGTGCACGTTAAACATGACAGCACAGCTTTTGGCAAATAATAAACAGCAGGACTCCGACTCGCACAAAGCATATGGGCATTTTTCCTGCAAGGGGAAATACTTTTCACAGTTAAATAACAATAGAAATAGAAAGAAATGAAAAATTGCCATAAAGGAACAAAAATGGGATTTCCAGCTGCGATCTGAAAAGAGATGGAAAGGCATCGAGATGGAAAGATCTGTAAAACGCCGTGGTGGAGGAAGGCCGTTCAAAGCAAGAGGGGACGACAGACCTACTCCTCGGCTGGAGTCGGGTACAAACTGGTGGGGAGGTTTCAGAAGGAAAGCGCCTGAGAGCTGCTTGTCCCAGGCTCCAGTCAGAGCAGACCTACTCTCAGCCCTTCTGGGGTGGGACTAGCCCGAGTAGTGCAGGAAAGAATTAAAGGGATTAGGACTGCAGAGGTGATTTGGGGTTGGTTTGTGTCTGTCTTCATTGTTTTTTCCGTTTTAGTGTTTGTTTTTCCCCCTGGCTCCCTGGGATCTTGGCCACTTGAATGTGAATTGCTGTTATTTCACATCAGATGCATCAGATGCTCTGTTTTGTTCTGTGCCTTCATAGCCCAGTCAAGGGAAGTTGTGGAGTTGTTCTGTCGCTTTTGTTTTTCAGAGAAGGTACTTGGAAAGATAGGGCCGTGGACCAGCTGTTAGTCTTTCTTGATCTGTTTTGCCACAAAGCTCCTCCTTCAGGCCAAAACAATGGGCATGGGATAAAAAGTTCCTCTAAGAGAACAGGGAGAAGAAAACTGAAGAGTAGGGCGGAAGGGTCAGCTGAGGCCGAAGAGTCCAGGGAGGCTAGAGGGAGGTGACAGACAGAGCAAGGCTGGGAAGGCTATGGCCAGTCAGCAAGGCCAGAAGGAAAATGTTGCCTAGGGGGTGGGGGAGCCCAGACTAAGCACCAAGAAGGAAGTGGGGTGGGATCAGCAGATCTTGAACATGACCATTGTGATGGGTCAGGGAGCTCAGGCCCTCTAGCTAGAAGCCAGTCTCTCAGCAGTGAGACCACAGATCCTTTGGCCATTGTACCAAATAGGAACAATCAGAGCCTTGCTACGGAAAGGGTTATTAATCTGTGGGCCAGCAGCATCCAGCAACTGCTGGGAACTTGTTAAACAGACACAATGTCAGACCTCACACCAGGCCTGCAGAATCAGGCTCTCAGGGGTAGACCCAGGACTGTTGGAACACACCTAAACTCTGAGAACTATTAACTTACAGGGTCACATATCCTGAGGCACATTCTCAAGAGCTTAAGCAAACAGCAGCGCGTACACATTGGGAAGCCAGTATGAGTTATGGCGCAAGAAGGAATCATAGATTATTCAGTCCCCACAGTTATGGTGGCAAATGGGAAATAATAGAATGCGTCAAGTATACAAATCATATTCGAAGTCAAGAAAAAAATTGTCATTTTTTTTCCTGAATAGAGAAATACATAGAGCTATCTCTGTGTCAGCAATGAAATATAAGGCACAAAGAAGCAAAGTGCCCAAGGCTAGGGAGCAATGGCAGCATGAAAGCTAGAGGCAGTGATGGTGCAAACGGCCAGCGTCTGCCCAGCAGAGGCAACAGGTGCAGACGGAGGCAGCAGATACAGCTACACAGTAGGGCCAGTGGACAAGCATCTCGGACGCCTACCCAGAGTGCCAGGCTCAGCTCAATTCAAGTTTATTTGACATCTATGGCAACCTTTTTTTTTTTAATAAAGTAGAAGATAATGTAATTATACAACTATATATGCATGTAATACTGTACAATAAATCATACCAACATGTTATATTGAATAGGCTATTTATTTAGATGGTCCACTGAAGTAGTAATTGCATATACTGTTTATTTAGAAATAAATGTGTAAGGGGCCTACGCTAACCACCTCTCATACCACCTCCACCACGTGATTGACACGGCCCCACCTTTCTCTGTTTTTCCCACTGTGCCAGCCATAAGCATGCCCTGTAATTTACACACTTGTAATGTTTAGGATTGCCCACCCACTAGAAGGGAAGGTCTGTAGCATGTGGATTTTTGTCTGTTGTTCACAGACAGGTTCCTACTACTTGGGAGTATCCTGGGCTCAACAAGTACTTGTTGAATAAATGAATTAATGGGGAGAGTACCTCATATCACAGCACTGCCACAGAAGAGCAGATGTTTCACGGGCCTCTTCCTTTTAATAACTTACATTAAACTGCCAACAAAGAATATAACCTCAGGACTACCTGTATATCTTGCTGATCTCCAATGGCAAGAGAGAAAGAGTGATTTTCCAATGTGCAATTTTATCTTTACTGTTTTTCTGGAGAGTCCAATGGCAGCTATGGCTCCCTCAGTTATAATTTCTATTTTTACTTTCTGTTTCCTCAGTTTAAATCAGAACTTTACCTTAAAAATTATAATTTCACAAGCCATCTTTCCCCTTTCTGACTAGGTCTAAAACCTCCACTAATGTGTACAGGAAATTGAAAGGGTGAAGCATTTTCTTAGGGCCAAACCCTAAGCATTTTCACAGGGCAAAATTGAAGCATAAACATTTATTTTAACTGGGTTTTGCACAAAACACTTACCAACTCCACCATGGGTTGAACATTCTGAAGAATAGACTGGGCCATGTTTATAAAGCAGCTCATACATTCAAGTGGGCATGACTGTAGGGAAGTAGAGAACGTCGGAGCACGCCCACCTGCTGGCCTGTAGCAAACAGATGCAGCGGTTTGGGGGGAAGAGCCTCGTGGTGCAGGTGTGAGTCCTGTCCTGTGACAGCTGTCCTGACTCGTTCATCAGAGCACTGCTATTCAATGTATTCAACATGAACACAAATCTATTCCTCACTCCACTGCACCCCCTAAGAACAGGGGGGAAAGCAGCAGCAGTGTGGGGGATTTTCATTCCCACGGAGAAAGGCAGCTGTGCAATGGACGGAAGCTGTGAGGCCTTCAGACTGTAACCATGCCTGCAGCTGAGAAGTCCTGGCCATGCAGATCTGATTGTCCTGTTGACAGGCTATGCTAAGTACGAAGGCGTGGGTCTGTTCCCATGCCTGGGGACACGCAAGCCGGCAAGTCACGAGGAGCAACTCTGCCAAGTAGCTGGGATCTACAGACATGGGACCTGAAAGAAACTATCATGCCCAAAAGAAAGCCATCTGTGAGCAAGGGATCGTTTTATAGGCATTTAAAATAAAACCTAGATGAGTGGTTCTCAACCTTCCTAATGCCGCAACACTTTAATACAGTTCTTCATGTTGTGGTGACCCCCAACCATAAAATTATTTTCATTGCTACTTCATAACTAATTTTGCTGCTGTTATGAATCATAATGTCAATATCTGCTATGCAGGATGTATTTTCATTGGTCGCCTCCCACAGGTTGAGAACCGCTGACCTAGAGGAAGGCCCCGGTAGTGTCATCAAGCTGATGCGAATCACTGCCTTCAAATGCTGTGTGTTAGAGCAGAAGAAAAAGAGACCTATTGTCCGTGTTTGTAGGTTAAACAGCAAAACTAAAATATTTGTTCCTATTCTTTGTTCCTCTGAGAAAGAAAAAAAACCTTGCTAATGGCACTAAACTGAGTACTTCTAGTGAGCCCTGGGAAACCGATGTATCGCCTTTCAGCACAGTCCCTGGGTCGGGGAATTACAGCACCAGCAGCAATAACTGCTTTCCCCATTGTGTACGTCCTCAATTCCTGGCCCGGCAGACGCATTTCAGGGGACAGGCAGAACTGGGAATGTCTTTACACAGAGGACGGCGCTCTGAGGAATTATGTAAAAGAGCAAAAATCTGGAGAAGGTTTCACTGAGTTTTTTTTCTTTTCAAGTTAGTCAACTGGCCAAATAAAGGCAACTCTGAGTTTTGCTTTTTTTGTTTTGTTTTTCTCTGTACCCTCCAGCTTTTCAAAGCAAAGGGAAAATAAAACTTCTAAAGCAGAGTTTAATAAAAACTTCTACCAGAGTTTAATAATGTGCAGCAGCTAGTTTCCTAACTTTCTGATCACCGTTATGTGCAGTGAAGACAGTTAAACACTTCACCAGTCACTTCATTCATTTCTCCCTTTCCGAGCTCCTGAGTGGTGGCCAATTAACATCTGATTATTTGGGGTTAAAATTTTCCTTAAGGGTGACAATCTATGAGCCAGGAAGCAAGTGTCCCCTAACCTTCATGGCAGTCTGCAGCCAGTTTAAAACATTCATTTCTCTAGGAGGAGGCCACCTGAAAGAGTTGGAAGACCATCCTTCCACCCTCTCCTTTTTTTACTTTTCAAGTGCATGCTCAGGTTTAGGGCAAGGGATAGAACGTGAGGATAGTATTTTCCACGCATTACATAAAGATATATATATAAAAGGGGAAAAGTTTGAAATGGGACTTTTTTTTCTTGCCCACTGCGTCTCTAGATTTTGATTGGAGCCGTCATTGCCATGGGCTCAGCTGATAGAGACGGCCGCCTACACCCAGGAGACGAGCTCGTCTACGTGGATGGGATTCCAGTGGCTGGCAAGACCCACCGCTACGTCATCGACCTTATGCACCACGCAGCCCGCAATGGGCAGGTGAACCTCACTGTGAGAAGAAAGGTGCTATGTGGAGGTCTGTACCTAGAGGCTGCAGCCAGATTTGGGGGTTGGTGAGATGCTTTTGTGAAACATGGTAAGGGTACTTGAAACAAAATTTTAAATCAGTTTCTATATGGACTGCAGAAAGAAACAACCTAGGTTTTCTCAAAGTAACTGCAATGTTGAAAGTCCAGATTTTCATCCCTCTAGTACAAAACTCCAAACAGTCTTTGAGGATTATCGCTTAAATGTGGTCATAAAAAAATTTGTAGCAAAGCCTGGGACTAATTTAAGGCATGTCTGCTCTTTGCTCTTTGGGAGATGCCAGTTCTAAGAAGACCATCATAGCAGGGGGAAATATGCCTTTTGAAAATGTTCCTTATTGTGTTTATTAACCAAGAAGCATAGTATTTTGATACTATGATAAAGCAACCAGGACAGAAAATTAGCTTTCATTGTAGAGCCTGATAAAAGGTAACCATAACTGTTACTGTGATGTAGAAAACTACAGCTATCCCTCACTCTGAAAAAACATAATTCGTATAGCTCCAAACTTACGAAACAGATAGATTAGAAGTAATTATTCCCTTTACTACCATTTTCTCAGCTTCATAAAAGAATCCACTGAAGACATACTTTTCAAAGTCAGCCCTCATATTCATAATGATTCAATTTATCTCTCTTCACCACATCAACCACCCCCGCAAAACAGAGTTTCTAAGGGATTTTGCTGTTATAAGCACTATCCTATTTTTATAATCTGAGCATTCAGTAATGTTGTGGTCATAGATCTTCCCTCAGAACCACCCAGCATTTGTGCTGTGAACCACAGGGACAGCAGCCCCAGCAGGATCCTACTGTAACCTTCCGCCCCAGCGGCCTGCTGGCCTCTCTGCTCAGCCCCCCAATAGCCCTCACACAGACCTGGGAGGGCCCCGAGTAACATGAGCTCCCTCTTGCTACAGATGAGGAAACCGAGGCCCAGAGGTTTGGTAGCTTGTCCAGTGGTCCTCCATGAGTCAGTGACAGGGCAGAGATGGACTCTTCTCTGGGGCTAGTGCTTATTTCTTTACGCCACTTTCAGCCCTTTCCCCCAGGCTCCCACCCCCCCCCAATCCCAGTATATTAGGCCCACCTTTTGCCTCTGTCACTCCCCGATATAAGGAGTATTATGTATAGGCTGTTACAATATTTGTATCAAAAAAGGAGCACCAGCTAATGACAGCCCGTGAATGACTAGAGAGGATAAGGTTTATTAGTCAGACTAAAAATCCTTTTCCTTTTGAGTCCCTTAGAAATTAGACTTTGAGCAAGGGCAGTCATTTAAAAGGGCAAGTCAGAAGAATTGTCAGCCCTCACCAACGGAGACTGCTATATATCTTCTATCGTACGGAGGTTTCACTAAGAGGTGCCATTCGTCTTGAGAAATTCATGGCATGTCACTTGACCCAAAGAAGTAAAACATCTTGAATTATGCCTTATCCTTGGGCGAGGTGCCAGGAGAAAGACAGTGCTTGCTTGGTTAACATTTAACTGTCTCTCTCCCTGCAGAGTGATTTTTAATAAAAAGTTTTCTGTGCTATATGTTCTGTAACCTAAAGATAAATTAAAAAGATACCTGATTTACAAGGCAGTATTCTGCAAAGTGCAAAACCAACATAATTTCATGCTCCCCTTGCCACCAGCTTATCATTGCAAATTAAATTTTGTTCTAATCAACCCAAGCTGTTGGAGTGTATGCCAAAAGCTGCAAGAAATGTATTCTTGCAATTTGTGAATCACGTGACTTTGGTAAAGCTGCTCTTTGCTGCAGTTCTTACCAGCTATACTCAGTTAGGCTTTTGAGTGCATTTCAAGTGCAGTTAATATTTGAAAATGTTCTGCTGTAGACTGTTCATTCACACCGGGAGAGTTTCCAAGTTAATTCAGCCTCCTCTTCCTTGAGACTTTCATCAGTATTGAAAATGACGAAGTTCAGCAAAGAATACTTTGATAGCAAAGCAAATGCTTTGAAAGGAATGGAAAAGATTATTTTAAAAAAGTGAAAAGATGACCTTTCTTCATAGCTGCCATTTCTTTAAAGTGAGAAGGAAGGACTACTAATGTGTGTAACAATGGAGATGCCTTTTCAAGAACTGTTGTTGTTGTTGGTATGATGAGGAGGAGGACAAAGGCAGTGGAAGGTGCAGGAAGGGCAGTGGGAGGACGAGGTGGTTTACAAGCTGCAGAGAAGTGAGAAGAGACAGAGGAGCAGACAGAGGGACAGGATTGCCACCTCTTTGCACAAAGGAGCCGTATTATGGGGAAGGGGCAAAGGGAGGGCATAAGGAGTATATCCTTGGGCCCTGCTTGCCTCAGCTTGTACAAATGACCTGCCCCACCGTAGAAGGCAGAGGGTACTGGCTTCCCTAGTGATGCTTCAGGTAAAGAGCATATTCATCACAGGACATAGAGACAAGTTAGTTACACTGGGCCAAAAATGAAGATAACACAACACCTTGCCCCTAATAGTAAATTATTTTGAAAAATGTACACAGCAAAGATGGAAAGGCAAAATTTTCAGCTGGGCAATGGCAGGCTCGATCCTCAAAAGTGAGAGTTGGTGAGTAAGGGAAAAAACTACCCAGTAGCATCTCCAGTTTTATTTACCAGATAATTGTGGCATAGACCTGGCACCTTCAGCTAGTTTTGAGAGATCATGTCTTCTCCATGCCACCATCTCTGATTTTCCCCCCAAGGATATTAAAAGTGTGACTTTAATTATTATACTCAAAGCATAAATATTTCTATGTTTAGTAGCTTAGCTCTGAGATATGCAACCTAATGACACATTATTCTGAATGCACACCATTCATCTGAGAAGAGAGTGTCTCTGAGGAATTTCCTGAAGTATAATTCTAGAATTGATGTGAAAGAAAGTTTTATGACTTAATCAAAACATGTTAGAGTCAGTCTTCACGCTATCAACATCTTTTCTTTATCACCGAAGGCAAAGTCTAATTCCTGGTCTAATGCCGAGAAAGGGAAGGTTCTCTTGGCAACTGGATGAAAAGTTTAGCCCATGTTTGGGGTGCTAGTGCCTGCCCTGCTCCTGATTATTACACTTTTTGCCACTTCTAAATGCATTCCCTTGTCCTTTGTCTATGAGTATGACATGCATTTAAATAAGCTGTGTGCCTTGATGAGTATAAACCGAGAGAGTCTGCACAAATGCCTACAGGCAGCCCGGCCCTGACACTTGCAGGACCCAGACTGTGGGCTACCTCCTGCCCCATGAGGTACCAAAGGGACCTCGTGCACATGCATCTGGATACCCCAGGCCATGTGTCCAAGCTCCATCCACATGTACACCCCATCACCTTAGCCATGCTTCAGGGTAAAATATGCCCATCTTCTGGAGACAGTCATGAGAAGAGGCCCCTGGGGAGCGGGCAAGGGCTATGTGGTCATAGAATCCTACACTCGTGGTATCTAGTATGTGGCCTAGAAGGGAGGCAAAGGCTGCAATTGAACAAGTCCCTTTGGGCCTCTGTCTTCCTCACTCTATGAAAAGATAAGTCAATAAAGGAATAAATCAGGTATTTGCAAGAGGCACTGGGGAGTACTCAGGACTGTGGTGACCTTCAAACCACTTCCCAACTCCCCACCTCCAGCTGATTAGTGCCAAATATTTCAAGAGAAACTGGAAATCTGCATTTCTGTAAAATCTCTCTATGTATAAACATTGGGAATTAATTTTAACAATTATTAACTAAGGTACAAGCCAGCACTATGCAAACCAGAAGCAGCTCAAGCAGGCCAGTAGTTAACTGTTCTGACCAAAGCCATCTCACCTGGCAGGTATTTCCCACAACCCTGCCTGCCCAAAGAGAGACCCTCTCCCAGTCAGCAGAGCAGGGATTTCGAGTATGACTTGGGGGGTGAAATGGAAGCGTAACCTAAAAATTAATTAATTATTTGACTTGAGCACAACCAAGTGATAAATTCTGCGCACCCATTTATATGCGAGCCAGAAGAATGCGTCAGAGATCCTGGAAATTGGCATATATAAAAGAAAAAATTATACATGGTATCATTTAGTCACTTTATGACATTTTACTACATTATTCTAAAACAGCACTGTTAATGTCCTGCCCAGGAAGGGTTGTTGAAAAGAAGACAGTCTCATTTGGGTCCAGAGCCAAATGATGTGGAGATAGTCCCTCCAAGGTAACCATGCTACCAACTGTCAAGTGTTGCAGACCCAGAACAACCCCCAAAACAACTTAGAAGTCTTCTTAACTCCCTGATTTTGTATATGCTCATTTTGCTAAAGATAAAGAACTTTATTCTGAGGTTGAAAGAAAAGTCAAAAGGCAATCGCAAAGTATTCTACAGATGTATTTGATTCTTTCACTTGCCCCAGGACCACTCACGTTAACTTAGTCAATGATTTTCTTTCTCTCTCTGGAACCAATGGCAAAGCCACTCCCCGCCATTTACTGCAAAGACAGATAATTTTTCTTTGTTGCTGATTTACTGACAACCACAGCTCTCAACCCCCTAAAATATGACAGCCAGAAAATGAGATCTCTCTTGTCACTGCCTGTGACATTTAGTTACTGATTTGGTCCAATAACTCAGGGAGATTTTCAATTTAATGTACCAGTGTAATAATTGTTTGTTTTTCTTCTTCCTATCTCTAATCACTTTATTTCCAACTTGTACAAGGACTGATAAAGGACATGTGCTTCACCAAGACAATAACAGCTTGTCTTTGGATGATGTTCTCCAGCAGGGAGGATACATTTTATAGGCAGAAGTTTTAAATTCTGACTGAAAAGAAGGAAAGGGTTTGACATTGACATTCCGTTCTTGGATGACCTCAGTACATTTCTTACAGATCAAAAGCATCTTTTTCTTTTATTAAAATCTGATTAATTAGATCTTAATGAAAAAATGAAACTTACTCAATAATAATAAATAGCAACCTGGGTCTCCTTCATTCCGTGATTTCAAACAAGAAATGAATACATTTTTGTAAGGCCATTTCCTAAGCCCGAGTATGTGGACAAAGGCAGCTCTTCCGTTAGGTATCAGTGTAACAAAACATCTCTTGTAGTCTCTGTTCTTTCTCTCTGACTTTTTCATTTCAAAATGGAATTGGACCATATGAGGTGAAAAGTCTCTTTGGAGCTTCTGCTAATTATTTTTAACATGCCCTATGAGGCATCTTCCACAGTTCCAAATAGGAGACCGTATGTAGAGACCCAGGAAAGAATGATTAATGGTGATTACTTTCCATCTTATTATTCCTGTGTTCCATAAACATCTTTTGAATACCCTAATCAAATTTTAAGATGGAAATGAAATCGTCTCTTTCTAATTAACATATTCTAGCCGCCTGCTCCAGGTCTTTTCATCAGAGTGCCAATACCTAGGTATTAAATTAAAATGACAAAATCCTTTCTGGATGACAGATCAACTTTTATTTCAAAACCTGGTTTCTCTTGGCTGCCAACTTTCCATCACTTCCCCATGTAAGCAGCCTTGCTTTCTCACGAGAAGATTGGTTTGACGTATCTGGTTGATAATAAAGTATATTTTATAGCACTATGGACCAAAATGAACGAGACCCCCAACACCTCCTTAGAGACTAAAACTTTGTAATTCCTTCACCTGACATTATTAGCGAACTACTTTTTTTTCAGTGAAAAACCTTAGTTCATTTATTTATCCCTTTAAACTACTTCATTAAGATAGGGTTGACCTACAACGAGCTACACAAACTCCTCCATTAGCCCTACTCAACAAGTAGGGCCTTTTAAAAAGAGTAGCCTTGAAACCTGATTCATATTCCTGTGCCCAATCTTCCCTCCACCTTCTGAAAAACCTTTCCCCGGTGGGCTCCAAAGATGTGTATTTTCTACAAGTTATTTAAATGAGTCCTTATGTGCCGTACGGTTTAGGATCCTATCTGCTTGTTCCGTGATCATCTTCATTAAGTAGTTATTGTACAGCTAAGAAGCTCCATATCTAAAACTTGGCATTGTCTCGGGAGTTTGCAATCTTAACAAGAACATGCACCTAAGGAGCAGCCCAGAGGAGGCCGATGAGGGGTTTCACCTGTGTCTGCTATGAAGGCTTAAACTGGGCCAAGACCTGAGGGCTCCATACCTAGGTGTGTGGGGCTTCAAACGCTCTGCATCTCTAGGGGAAAGAGCAGCCAGTCAACTGGGCTTGCAACCATGCCAGTGTCTAGGACGGAGCCCAGTACACAGGAATCCTTGGGGAAGACCCTGTCTGATAACTGAGTGGCTGTGTATGGCTGTCTATATTCCAGGGGAGCCCTGCCCAGAGAATGGGAGGAGCCCAGGCTCCGTATCAACCCACCACAGCTCTCCGCGCAGTGACTACGCCACCTACACCAACAGCAACCACGCCGCCCCCAGCAGCAACGCCTCTCCTCCCGAAGGCTTCGCCTCGCACAGCCTGCAGACCAGCGACGTGGTCATTCACCGCAAAGAGAATGAAGGCTTTGGCTTTGTCATCATCAGCTCGCTCAACAGGCCTGAGTCTGGATCCACTATAAGTAAGTGTCTGACTTGCCTGTGTTTGAATGGGGGTCTTGTTTTTATGTATTCTGGTGGTGGGGATATTAGAGAGCTGTTATGGACACACCGTGTAGCCTGAAGGTCACAGGCTGGGGCCACAAATAAGGCATCTTTAACACTGACTAGTCAAATGTGGCTGATCTGTGGCTCAAGAAAAGTAAGAAAAGTATGAGAACACAGCTAATGCCCCCCGCCAACCCTGTAAAAGCTCTTCACTGATGTGTAAATTGGGATGAAAATAAAACAGAGCAAAGTAATAGTATTGTTATGAAGAGAAGGGTGCTCCTTGTAATGGGCTAGCCAGGGAAGGCTTCCCTAAGGAAGTGACTTTGATTGAGTGCTGGTCAGTAGGCTGAAATCAGAAACACAAAGGGTCTGGGGAAAATCAGTCCACCCAAGCGGTAAAGTGGGAAGGGGGTCACTTTCCAGAAATATGCAGAAGCCGCACAAGCCGGGGCAGCCAGGGTGGGGTGAGCAAGGGAGAGCTAGGCAGGAGCCAGACACCGGGCTTCACAGGCGGGCACCGAGCAGTTGCAGTTATAGGCTAAGGCCACACGAACCACTGGAGGGTTTTAAGCAGTGGGCTGAAATCAGACTTATATTTTTAAAAGATAAGTCCAGCTGCTTGTGGAAATTGAAATCAGCAGGGAGGAGGGGGCTACAAGAGGGGGAGCACAAGATACAATCAGGTGGCCATTGAAACAGCCCTGTGGATCCAGAGATACCGTGCCTTCCCCAGGGTGGGAGAGTGGACGAGGGGAGGGCAGATGGATGCAACTTCTGCGGCTCCCCCAACCCTCAGCCTCTGTGAGTCTCTACCCACGTTTCTCTTCCAGTAGGCCATCTTCACAGACTCCCAGCTTCCTTGGTGGTTTTTCTTTCTGAAACACTATTTGCGAACTCATTCAGAAGCCTGCAGGCAGCAGGGCAAAAAAAGCAGGAGGAAAACTTGTGTATTTGTTACACTGAAGTGATTTGGCCCAGAATATTGTGAATAGAAATACTAGAATGAAGGAACATCAGAGAAAAATAGATAAAGAATTGCATCCATCTTGTAGTCCTGAACTCTATTATAAAGTGTGGTAGTTTTCAGCACAGGGAGATGGGGAAGGATGAGTATCAAACAATACTCAGGAAACAAAATTATTGAGAATGAATAAGAATGTATAAGATACAGTTAATGTTATGAAGAAACCACCAGAAATGTATGGAGAGAATTGCCCCGGTTAGCTTTTGCCTTAAAAAGTTCAAGAGTGAAAACTTTAGAAGCATTAAACCTTGGCAAACATGTGCAGAAGCCAAATTAAATACATCTGAAAGTACAATTTCATTTCTCTCTTTCTTCATGATAAGGAGAAGAAATAAATCCAGTCTTTAAGCATAGACTAAGAGCAGGATTCTGTCAGTACGACGGATCCACCAAGATTAAAGGGACACAGAGCAAAAATTTTCATGAATTATGTAAACAGCCTTCCAATAATTTACACTTGGGGAAATCGTTCACAGAGGGGTTTTGCAGCTTTTCCAAATTCAAATTGTTTGTTGGGGCAGAATACCTAGAGGACTGGAATAGCAATGAAAAGTGTACTGCACAGTCAAAGTGTTAAGCATGTATTCAGTTTCAACTTCCTTTGAAGCGTGACGCCTTTATTTCTAAATGTACAGGGAATGTGTGTGTGGTGTGTACAGCATGCATGCACTTACCATGTGAAATAACCACGACCACTTTTTCTGTTGCAAATGCATCTGTGCATAAGTAGATCGGGAAAAGAACAAGTGCAAATGTTGATAATTAATATGTGAATTTTTCTTCCTACCAAGTGACATCAGACTGGCCTCAAAAGAACAATTATTTTACATCACCCCAGAGAGTAGAAATATATCCTAGAGTTCATGATGCTTCATCACTCCTATAACTTTTTTTTCACATATTCCTTTTGTTTTTTTTTTTCAATGTAGGGAGTTTGAAATGCAGGTTGCCCCATGCTTTGTGGCAAAAGCAGTGACTATACTGATGGCACATTGCATTTACAGTCTGTAATTTCCAACATGCTCCTAAATGCTTCCTGGAACTGATGCTTCTTTCTATTTAACATCTGTAATAATTTGAACTCTTTATTTTCTTTTTGTGGAGACCGAGTCTCCCTCTGTTGCCCTGGGCTTGAGTACCATGGCATCACTTCTCATAGCAACCTCAAACACCTGGGGTCAAGTGATCCTCTTGCCTCAACTTCACTGAGTAACTGGGACTACAGCACCCACCACAATGCCCGGCTAGTTTTTCTGTTTTTAGTAGAGATGGGGTCTCCCTTTGCTCAGGCTGGTCTGGAACTCCTGAGCTCAGGCAGTCCACCCACCTCGGCCTCCCAGAGTGCTAGGCTTATAGGCATGAACCACTGTACCCAGCCCTTGAACTCTAATTTTGAAGAGTAACACTAAGTGCCCCGTGAATGACAAAGAGCTCTCTTGGTGCCATATATCATGGACAAAAATATCAAGGGTGCTTGGGCTCAGTGAGACTCAGAGAGGGTCATGTTGTCAGGTGCTTGAGAATCACCATCATTACTAGGGCTTGTGTCATTTTTCTCTTCATGTCCCACCTGAACCCAAGGATCATTATTCCCTGAAGCCTTTTCTTGGTGAGCAAAATGCTGTTTGGGGTTCAACAGTAGCACCATGACATTTTGACAAGAGTGGTGTGAGTGCCACGGTCATACTGCCTAGATTTGAAACATGGCTTTATCCTTTACTAACCTTCACACAATCTTAAGGAAACTGAGTAAACTCTTTGGGCCTCAGTTTCTTTGATTGTAAAGAAAAGATCATTTTTAATCCTTAGTTCATGGGGATTGCAAAGAGTTAAATGAATTGAGACATGAAGTGCTTAGAACAGCACTGGCCTGAGTAAGGAAGCACTAAATATGTCATTGCCGCTATCCAGATCACCAGGCCTTCTAGGGATGATCTTTCTGTTCCACCAGCTCACTCTTAGGTAGCACAGAGCTCACCCTGGCTCTCAGTTCAGTTCACTATTAGTCAGAGCCAGCCACACTCCCAGGGCAGCTAAATCTGGGAGCAGATGAGCATATCTCTATGGGAAGCTCCCCTTGCCCTCCCTCTCCTGACCTTCTGGGACACAGTATTTCCCACCACCCCACCACCTGCAGCTGAGGTCAGTGGTGTGGACAGTTAGAGAAAAAGTAGCCAAGCCAGACCAGCTCAGAGTGCCTTTGCCAAGGCTTCGAGCTAGAATGGCAGGTTCATCGCTCCGGAATTCACACACCAATAAACTAGAAAGACGAAGGAAAACATCAAAACATAAAATCTCTCTGCAAACACTATGACATTATTGAATATCATCAGAGAAGAGGAGAGAGAGGAACCACCCAGATGTGAGCTGCCCCGCCCTGGGGATGGAGATACCCTCCATGGCTTCTTCTGCAATGGCCAACAACCTTATCAAGGATTGGGGTTGTTCAGCTAATTGGGAAATTGGGAAACAGGATTCCTAGCTTATTTTTTGCCTGGTATTTAGTAATGTTTTTTTAACAAAGCCTCACATACACAGCATGTTTTTGCTTTCAAAATATTATTTGCCCCAAAACAAAAAGGAGCTATATCAAAGTCATAAAGGAGCAAACTGCTTCCTTCCAAGGCCAGTGACTCAGAAGGCCAACCATTGACTGTTGGTAAACAGTTCTTACATGGCTCCTATCTGTAGTGCAGGGGAATGATTCTTGATTTAAAGTGAGAATAAGCCAGTGTCCTGAGCATTTTTCCCCATTATCTCAAATATTAAGTATTTTTTTCAGACCTTAAAATTGAGCCCAAGAGAAAGCAAGTGGTTTCCAGACCAGAGCTTAGAGTAACAATAAACTATAATAGGCAATTGCCTTTCAAATTCTGAAAATTGTTTGAACAAAGGTTTACATACAAAGATGTTCATTGCCATATGACTGATAAACATAGACAATGAGAAATAATACCAAAACTAGAAACTCTACAATATTTGGGAAGTTCAAGGCATTTCCTGACATTGACTAACTATTGTCACTCCCACTGAGTCTGTGAGAAGACTCAGGTAGCCTCCTGTCACCACATGGATCAGATGCTTACTCTATAAATTGTCCCAGGGGCTTGGCACAGTGGGGTTGACAGGTGGGTCCTTGGGTCTTCCATGCTCGGGGCAGGAGTCCTGACACCAGGCTTTCCGGCAGAGGTGTAACCTGTCCTTATAGGAGCCTCCTACTTCCTTACCAAACCTGCTTTCCCAATGTAGGTTCCCAAAAAGGGCTTCAGTACAAGTGATGAAATGAAAGAGACCCTAGTTTCTGACTTTTTGATACTTTGTCAGGAAGGTAATGTTGGACTATATGGGGTAGACATACATGGCAGCTTGGATGTCAGTGTTGGTGGCTGACAGCCTGTTGAAGGATTTCTAAACTTAGACACAGGCCCTTAACAAGCTGTGAGTTAGAGCACACTCAGGATGGCAGCCACGGCACCAGCCTAAACAGTCAACAGTGGGCGAAGAAGCATTTCAATTCCTCCTTCTTTCCTTCCTGTTCTCCCAGTGGTGCTGATTGAAGGTCTCTGTTTCCAGGTGTTCCTTCCCCCACATGGGTTGGAGATTGACTTGGTCATCCTGACTTTCCCTGAGGTCACTGCAGTCTGACATTCAGGGGAGCAGTTTATTATCCTTGATAAAAATGTCCTAAGGATGCTGCCCATAGGCTATGGAATTTAAAAGTTATTCTTGGGGTTCAGAAACTCAGCTGGCAGTTCTTTTATGACATTTTTATTCATGGTCCCTAAAAAGGATGAAATTAAACTTAACTAGCAGTGAAGTGAGTATTTTTCTCACCCAAACTCACCTTACCACCCACACAGGCACTAAATAATCACTGACCTTAGGGAAAGCACAGAGTACAACAAAAAGCCTAGATCTCTACACCCTTGCCCTGACACCAGGACATGA